ATGTGGATCTTAATTATATGCTTGTGAACTCAGTGGCAATCTGCACTAGGAAGTGTCCTACATCACATCCACTGAGTTTAACATCCAAACATTAACAGATTTGTAGAACTGCTAGTAGACTGTTTCTCTATTGACCTTTACAATATTATAAACATGTGACAGAAGATAACTTCAATCATATCAGTCTTGGCTCATAAACTTTTTAAGCATGTGCTTCAAAGTTTGCATAGCTCTTTCAACCAAACCTTCAGAAGAAGAACAGCATAATTAAATGTTCATCTTTTTTTTCCTCACTACACTTAGTACTGGACATGACTTATCGGAGAACAGATTATTAAAATTTGCTCTTTGGTTTCTGGGGGTTTCACTACCCATTCCAAATCATAATGTCCATGTTTAGCCAGTTTTGGGAGACAGAGTGCACTGAGGTTTCAGTTATGTATAATCTTCACATATCACTTGATTAAATACTCATTAGTGATCAGCGTATATTTACCCAAATTATTTATTGTTAACTTGTCTCCTACATGGACAAAAAAGATCAGATGCCAACTCCTCCATTCTTGCTCTACTTATGGCTAGCTCATGTATTGGAAGATGCAGAATTCTGTCAAATGTAAATGATATCATTACAAACTAGTAATGTGTATATAAATGTGTGCATGCATGTGTGTTACAAAACTTTATAATTCCAGACATCTACTTTCAATGTTACTGACCTTATATTGTAGCAGTTTTAAGAAAGGGGCTGTTTGTTTGGGATGTGACGACCTCTCCTGCTCTTGGTATTTCCTAACAATCAAAATTTATCAATGCCATTTGAGTTGACCTGTTAGACAGTATTAATGGGAGTTAGAAATCTGTGCAAGATAATCGTTGCAGACGTTTTGATTTACACACAAAGGAAGTTCGTTTATAAGTTGTACTTTAAAACCACAAACTTTTATGCATAAAGTTCCAAAGCAGCAAGAAACAAGGTCTGGACAATGATATGTGAAAATATCTACAGAAAGGTAGGAATAGTAAGAGTTAAATATAACTATTTACATAGATCCTTTAAACTTAAGAAGAGCAACTCAACTTATACTCATAAACATGAAATTATTGTATATTATTTGGAGATTTAAATAAGCGTCCTTTTCAGTATAATAATTATAAAAAGTAAGTTATGCAAATAAATTATAGAAGTGAAAACTGCAATACAGTATGTAAAATGTGTACTAAATCTTAAAAAACATAATCGGCTGTAGAATAATAATATTACTGTTTTGTTCAGTATTTATACAAACGAAACATTAGGTATAATAAAATCCTTTCAGGACAGATAATTATAAAAATATGTAAGGTACATTATTGGCTATGCTATAATATTTGCTATGTTCAAATAATGAATAAATTAAGATAGTATGTGTGATAGAAACTGACATATGTAATACACTGTGCTATAATAGTTATCTCATTAAAATAATAGTTTTACTTGTAACTTTTTAGGACACATAATTAAATCTAGACTACAATGTTGATCACATAATCATATGTTGAGACATCCTAGGATGCGCTCATCATCCTATTGAACCTCCCATTTATATAAACACCATCCACTATAGCAGCACTACCCTTAGTAACAGATATCTGCCTGTAGAACCTTAATAACACCGTCCGCCTATACAACCTTAGTATCACCATCCACCTGCAGAGCCTTGGTAACACTGTCCGCCTATAGAAACCCTATCAGCCTTTGTAAAACATATGTAATATGTAAGTGAAAACTATAAAGTAACTGTCAACATGTGAAAAATGAAATATTTTGTCAAGAACTCATTTACTGTGAGACACAATACAATGAATAAAAATCATAGTTATGTGGATAGATAAATACCATAAGAATATGATTAAATTATAAAGCCATACTAGTGAAAGATTTGTATAAAGTGAAACAGTAAGATTGTATGTTATATCATTGTGTTTTATTTACAGATGTTATCCAAAAAAATTTGTCATTTTCAGAACAAATATTTGTAAAACATATGTTATGCAAATAAGGTAAAATACTATTGATTAATCAATTATCCTACAAATTATGTTAATACTGTCCTTAGTAGCATCATCCGCCTATAGTAACACTAACTTTAGTAGCACCATCCACCTAAATTGTACATAATTAAATATATAAGCAAAAACTATAAAGCTGATAATATTAAAATAGCAGATTTAATGTTTTATTCATAAATCAAAACTGTAATTGTGATAAAAAACTTTTATCTA